AAACATTTTAAAAGTATTTCTCTAGTTCTCTCCAACATATCACTGACTCATTTCTATAACCTAAGATTTCCTCCTTTTTTTTTACCATATTTTGCCATGTGCAACTTAAGACTGCCACCACCTATACATGAGCCAAAACAAAATAATTTTTCTACACAGCACTGCATAATGATAAAGACATGGCAAACAAAGCTATTGACCTCGGGAATGGCACAGAAGGGTGGTATAAAACATGTACCTATAACACCTCTTCTTATCTAGTGTTAGCATTACCCATCTTACCTAATAAATTCATAGTGATTCATGACAACTGAGGATCACTAATGAATCATGGACTATTCTATTGGATATATAAAGGACAGTTTAGCTGTTTTTAAGACATTATTCTAAAATAATTCCAATATTGTTTTTGACAATTTAGCATTAAGCCATTGCATTTCAAATATGTTAATCTTGGCCAGTTCACCTTATTTACTTCATGGAAACACTAAAGAGCCAATTATATGTGTACTATCTCAAAATTTATGGTCAAATGCTAAATGTCATGTGAATCTCCTTCATCTGCCTTCCAGATATGCTCTCATCCTTCTCTTCCCTGCTCTGTGCCCAGGAGGCTGACTTCCATACTCTGTCTTCTGTATTCTGCTTGGCTTTGCCAATGAGAGGCACCAGTAGAAGATCAGGGAATGGAAGGAAAAAGAGATGTGGATTTATTCCCTTGGCCCCCTCCCTGCCAGGTGCAGGTTAGCAGTAGCTACAGTCCACTGCCTAAATTCATGGCTCCTGTCTGGCCCTCCTGTCCTTCAGCTATAGCTGAGTCTGGACTCTAATAACCACTCCTTTCCCCTTTGTTTACTTCCAGGACTTTAAGTGATACAAGTAATAAAACAGAATATTACTTTAGAAAATGTTCTTCCCTGCTTCCTTCTTGCTAGACTTGAGTTATCCCTTCATATACTATTTCAGTTTATTAGGGAGACAGTTATTTTGAGAAGAAATTATATTTCTCTAATATAGGGGACTATAAATTCTACTTGTTTGGTACCCATCAAACATCACAGTCCCCTGATTCCTAGAAATGAGGACAGTAAAATGCATTTATTAGGCAATCAGCAAATGGTTGTTGGTTTCAAACACTGAAGTATAACTTAAATAATTTCTATAAGTGATTACTATTTCTTTCTAAGAAGCAGATTCATTCATTTATCAGACATGGAGGAATTATCAATAGGCAACTAGAAGTTCTATCACATTTTTAGGTCAAAAGCAGTATCACCTTATATCTCAGTCTATTTTCTACCAAAGAAAAATATTATTACTTCTCTTAGCATCTATAACTGGCGAGTAGGTGATGTTATCAACTTATTGGTACCTTCAGAATGTGCCTAGAGAAAAGCCTAAATAGTGTCAGTCTAAGATATAAGTCAACGTTAGGTAGACAAATGGAATTATTCCTTGGGAAAGGAAAACAGACATCACAGGATAAATAACTCAAAACAGAAAATGGGATAGGGCAAACCGAAGGCAAAACCACTCCAAGTGGTAAGTTGCCTGGTCTACTAGTGCTTTGACTCACCCCTACCATCCACACAGAGCCTTTGGAGGAGTCAAACTAGCAAAATCACTCCTATAAAGACTGAGACTATTGCCACTTTCTCAGTCCGTTCGAGTTGTGAGCATGAAGCCCCTACTCAATTCACACAAGTACTATCACTCCTTAAGTTCAGGACAGCTTGGGCCAGTTTACCTGCATCCAGGACCTGTGTTGCATCAGGTTGTGGCTGACACCCTTTAGAGTCTGTGACTGTTGTACATGCAAAAGAATCAAAATCCACTGTGAGGTCTTGTACATTTCTCTCATTGGCATTATCAAAGCTGTTTTTGTCATGCAGCTGTTTAAGGCGTTTCCTCAAAACTGGTTTATGTGCAAAAACCATATCACAATAGTTACATTTATGGGGCTTATCTCCACTGTGAAGGTTAAGATGATCTTGTAAGGAACACTTCTGAGAAAAGGTTTTCCCACAGATTTTACACTGGAAAGGTTTAATTCCAGCATGCACACGCATGTGTCCATGAAGGTTGCCTTTCTGAGTAAAAGTCTTGCCGCAGAGTAGACACATAAAGAGTTTGTGCATTTTTAAATGGTTGGCATAGTTCTCCAGGTGACGAAACACCCTGGTACACTTTGGGCATTGGTGATGCCACTGTAGACCTTTGTCTACACCTCGAATATTAGGCCCAAAGACATCTTTTGAGGCCATGATGATGTTATCACTGCCTGTATAAGAGAGGGCATAATTGTGGAGATGGTTTTGTTCTATTTCACTTACTCTGTTTTCCACAGTTGAATTTATCAGCGAGTGCTGGGGCTCTGATGAATGTAAAGCAGTGGGTTCAGAAGAAATAAACTGGTTCTGATCTTTTTTACTTCTAACCTCTGATACATCCCCAATAGATTCTACCTTAACAATCTGAATATCACTGTCCTCCATATCCATACTGTCTTCAGATGGATGAATACAAGGTGAGTCCTGCTTTGGGGAGCCTCTGGCATCTCCCTACTGTTCTTTTGACTGGGGAGAAGCACTCTGTGGTTCACATCCCTCTTTACTATCCATTGGTTGTTTTGGCTTTATAAACTTCCACAGGGCCTGAGTGCACCGTTCTACAATGTGGCTCATCTGAAGAAAACTTGCAGCAGTCAAGTAATTTACCAGTTCCATCTCAGGGAATTCCAGCACACCACTATAACAGGATAAGAGCAATTGTCTCCCCACTTCGGAACTCTGTAATATGGAGATTTTCACCTCTCTGGAATCATTCAGTAAAAACTGGTCTCTTAAGAAGGGGGAACCTGCAGCAAACACAATTTTATGCCCCTGTACCTCAATATCATCTATGAGAACTGTAACATCACAAAATTTATTCTCTTCTCTTAATTTGTTCATTTTTTGTAACATTGAATCTCCATAATTTTCCAACTTGAAGTGAAGGAGATCTGATCTTTCAGACATTTTGGCAGACCCAGGGGAAGGCCGCCGTCAGGATCCCGCACCGCCAGGAGCTCCGGCCCCTCGGGGCTCCGGGCTATAAGTGATTATTTTTTATACCAATTACTTCAGTAATTTTACCTGGGACCAAAAAAATAAATAATTTAGCAAAAAAAATCACATTATCAATCAAATAAAAATGAACACATGATAATTTCAAAACTCAAAAGCTTTCAAAATTTCAAGGACCACCTTTAGAATAGTCAGTGAAATTGAATAAGGTGTCTACATAGGAAAGATTACAGTTTTTAATCAAATACAAGTCTAGTAACTGCATATGTTTTCTAATGGACAGAATTTAGTCTTTACTTGCTTAAGGTATAAATTAACTTTATATATGTTTTAAGAAAATTTCTTAAGAAACAGGTGTATATAATTAAAACATACATTTTCCATCTCATGAATTTGCTGATCTTTACAAAATTAGATATGGCCATCTTATAATATTTTAGTAATTACTGTAGCAAAATGGAAGGCAAAATAATACATAACCAAAGCAAATAATGTTATTCCATGGCAGATTTCAAATAAACACTGAATTGTATTTATTTATCATTTTTACCAGCTAGATTATAAGGACTTATTTGCACAACTTAAAAATGGAAAATTTATAGAAATTGAATCTTGAAGAAATTTACTTAACTTTTCATTATGTAAATTGAAGAAGCAGAGCACCCACAGTTTCGACAAATGAAGATTAAGTACCCTATTTGTGTTGGTTAGTTCACTCTCTTTCACAAGTGCCAGTTCTACAAGAAATGAGAGGGCCCCATTCCAGGTTGAAAGACAAATCCTTTTAAAGACAGAACAAGCTAATCTGCCTCATTGAAAAAGGCTCAGAGATAAAGGATCCTATAAAGCCTAGGTGATCAGAAAATGTATTATCCCAGACACTGAAAAGAGTAACAAGAACATAAACCATCAGAACTGTGGAGGAGGTTCATAACCTGTTCTGTGTGTGACCAGAAGTTACATTTAATCATGTTATGGAAAAATGCTCAAGCCAAGCCTAAAATACAAGGAAAGCTAAGAGACCACCTCTCCCCTTGGGACCTTGAAAAATATAATGCTTCAGCTTGTAAAGTATAATTGAACTATTAAAGAAACAAATAGGACAATAAAAATCTTCAGACTGATGATCATTGTGCACTTTCAGAATCTCTAAAAAAATGGTTTTTCCTACATATTGGGACGTGACTCATCATACAAAAAACAAAAATTTCATATGTAAAGAACTAGAAAAATTCTAAAACTCCTGTAATATAAATTGTAAAGGTAGATAACTATAACATGTAATGAAGTTTGTGAATATTAATGTATAGAAACATTTAAAATATCAAGTTGAAAAAGCATTTATTCTGGGAGAAGTTTTTTAAACTCCTAATCACAATGCATTGTTTGGTTTTCTTTCAACCTATGATACTGAAAAGCAAAATTCTTGGATATTTTCCCTTTAGAATTTCAGGAGAGTCACTAAAATTGTTTTATGGTGACATTTTAAAAGAATATTTATTTTCTGATAAAGTAAATGATTTTTGAAATTTAAATTACAGAAAAATAACAAGACAAAAATAAAAATCATCTATAATAAGCCAACGAAAGATACCCCGCTTTCCATTTTGGTACTGATTATACAACTTGATTCCTGTCTTATTATTTAACATATCATCAGTATTTTCCTGTGACTTAGACGTATCATAATTTAGCCATTATACATAACACCTTAATTTGAATACCTTATTGATTAAAATTCAGTCTGCATTTTGAAAATATCCTTAGGATTGAGTTATGATACTGAAAGAAGGAAAATTAACATTTTAAGATATTTGAGACACATGGTGGTTAATGTTTTCAAAGCAAAGCCCTCTGTTGTTTAAAAATATTATTTCTTCCATGCTTTTAGATTTCAACATTCTTAGAAAAAGTAATAAAATATATTTAAAATGCTAAACACATCCCATAAGAACAAAGTTTATAAGGTAATTAAAACAGTGATTAAAAAGCACTTTTATTTAAACATTATTGGCTACACTTGACAAAGAAAGATTGAACTGCATGAAATAAAACAAGCAAGGAAGACTTTATTCAAGACTAATGCAATATGGGTGAGAGATGGAATTCAACTGTCTTGAAACAAAAGGCAGAAGAGTTTTTAGGCACTGGAATGAACTAGTGGAAAAGTACTGATGGACATTAAAGGTTAAGTGGTCAGTGTGATAAGGCCCTCTGTGTTTGTTACTTTGGAAGTTAGTTTCCTATCCTCCTACAAAGAATGGGAACAAGTGCACTGTTTTTCTTGATGTTTTCATTTCAAAAGAATGACTTCTAGTTCCTTAAGAAGGACACCTCCCTCACCCCTGTTGTAGAAGATTTACATCTCAAAGGGACAGAAAAGAATTTACAATTATGAGTTTTCTAAGGTAAATTAGCCATGCTGGTGACACCACCCCTGTAGTCCCAGCTATGGAAGGCTGAGACAGAAGGATCACTTGGAGTTTGAGGCTGCAGTAAGCTATTATCATGCCACTGCACTCCAGCCCGCATGACAGAGCAAGACCCCATTATAAATGACCCCATAAATAAATAAATAAACCATCATTATAAATGACCCCATAAATAAATAAATAAACTCTCTAAGAAAAGGGAGATCAGGGACCTAGAGTCAGGAAGAAACCTGTGAAAAATCAAGTTGAAAGGAACATCACGGCCATCTTGGCCACACTCTATCACCAAGTGAGCGCATTGCCCCTCACACTAGATGGCTGGTTTTATGGACATGAGAACCTAAAAAGAAATTGTCTGTCTTAAATAACAACTACAATTTCCTATTAGCTTTTCTTATAACCAAATAATAAGAAAAGACAATAGCTATTGTTGACTGAATTCTTCTAAAGATACGTAAATGCATCCAAATATCAAGCACTTAATTCATTTTTTCAGGTGATCTCATAAGTCTCAGCTACATGGTATAAAATTTCTACAAAATGCACTCCCCCCCCCACACACACACACACTGGTTTGTGATGTGAGAAGTAAACCTTCAGTGTAATAAGCCCTGAAAATGTGGGAGGTTTTTGTTATCCAGTTAGCACCTCCCTCCACTCTCAACTAATCTAGCCTGGAAGAATTAGTAGGAATTCAAAAGGTGAACATGAGAAGGAAGATAAACACCCTCTTGGCTGGAAAATAAATTTCCAGTGAAATTATCAACTACAAAGACCACAAGTTATTTCAAAATTTAATTATTTAGCCCAGTAAAATCTGGAACAAAATGGTTATTGTCACCAGCTAATTACTAGCCATGCCTCAGAATATAGATCACAGGTAGATTATTCTAGTTAATGAAACACAAAATAACTGTTGTACACAGGAATAAATATCGGAAGGGAAAAAGACATGAAATTCAGTTTTTACATTTGGAGCCAATGTGTCAATAAATTACTTGAAATTTTTCT